GGGAACAGAGTGAAAATCAGCACAGGAGCCACCCTGGCACAGGTGTTCTGTGAGCCACAGAGATCAGAGCATGTCTAGGGGGGAACAGAGTGAAAATCAGCACAGGAGCCACCCTGGCACAGGTGTTCTGTGAGCTCAGAGAGCACAGGAACCACCCTGGCACAAGTGCTCTGTGAGCCACAGAGATCAGAGCATGTCCAGTGAAGAACAGACTGAAAATCAGCACAGGAGCCACTCTGGAACAGGTGCTCTGTGAGCCACAGAGATCAGAGAGCACCCTGGCACAGGAGCCATCCTGGCACAGGTGTTCTGTGAGCCACTTCCCTCAGCAGCTTTGGTCCCAGAGGCTCTGTTCTGAGCTGTGTTTTAAGCAAGCCCCTGCCAGGTATTTTAAGTGGTGCTGAGGCTGAAAAGACAAATCCAGAGGCCAGGGGGCTGTGCCAGTGGCAGCCTGGCAGAGATCTGTGGGCAGAGCCCCTTGGAGCTGAGCAGGCAGTGCAGGAAGCACTCATCTGTCAAGAGCTGGGGGTGGCAGCAGCTGCCTGGGCACACAGGACAGAGCTGCCCCCCCAAGCCAGGCACTGCTGCTTTGAACTGTGATTTTAAGACTGATTTTCTGTGTAATGTGGAACCAGACGGTTCCAGCTGTAAATCAGGAGTTTGTTTCTGTGCTCCTGGGGAGAACAGCTGCTGCAGCACACCAGAACAAATCCAAAAGGTCCCCAGTACCCTGACCCAAAGTGTCTCCAGCCACTCTTTGGAACAGAAATTTCTACCTTGTTGCATAAAGGTAAGAATAGAGTCTTATGTCACTACCAGGAGAGTGCTGAGGAGCCAAGGAGGCTGAAAAGTCTGTCCTTATCTACACCCAGGTGAGCTGCTGAAGCTGGCTGATAAGGACAAGGATTAGCATTCCAGGATTAGCATTCCTAGAGGGATCTCCCAACACATGCCCTGTTACCTCAGAGGCAGCTTTGTGCCTTCCCACCAAAGCCTTGTGCTTTGAGACCTTTCCTCTCCCAGCCCAGGGTCACAGAGACATTTCCTGTGCCTCAGGTTTCTGGTTTAGAATTATCCCAGCAGGGGCAGGTGGCACCCAGCAGCCAGAGGTGTAAATGCAGCCTCTGTGCCACACAGGCAGCTCAGGGGACAGCAAAGCCATGTGCCTCTCCTCTCCTCTCCTGTCCTCTCCTCTCCCAAAGGACTGCAGGGAGGCAGGAAGGGCTCAGACACAAGTCAGGATCAGGCAGTTTGAGTTCACAGCACAGTTTGGAGACTGAGGAGTGCGTGGAGTGCAGAGCACCCCAGAGCTCATTTTCCTGTTAACCCACAGCAACTCCTCCCCTGCAAGTGCCTCTCTCCCTCTCATTTTCCCACATTTACTCTCTGGAGGGTGCAGGCCCAGCAGCGCCCCTGCCTTGGGCAGCTCCACCTGGAATCCCCTGGTTTTTGGTCCCTCAGAGGCTTCACAGGCAGAAGCCTCTGGTATTCACTCTGGGAATGCCTGGTTTGCACAGCACTGATCCAGAACTCAAATCCACTCATCCCAGCTGCCAGAGCTCTAAGATAAGCTAAGATAAGGTGAGTATTTATCAGGGGTGAGGTTGTGCCAAGGTTTGTGTCACAAACTGGTAGAGCAGAGCCTCCTGCTCCCCCTTCTCCCAACAGGAAGCATCTTCCTTGGCAGGAATTGGGCTACAAGCTGTTGGCATTGCCTGTGCATGCTTGGCTGGGGAAATGCCTTTTAAAAAACAAAAATAATTTAAAAATCGCTGTTTTGGTGGTTGTTCAGATCCTGCAAATCAAACCAAAAAGCATCTTCCTTGGCAGGAATTAGGCTACAAGCTGTTGGCATTGCCTGTGCATGCTTGGCTGGGGAAATGCCTTTTAAAAAATAAAAATAATAAATAAAAAAAATCCTTGTTTTGGTGGTTGTTCAGATCCTGCAAATCAAACCAAAAGCATCTTCCTTGGCAGGAATTGGGCTACAAGCTGTTGGCATTGCTCGTGCATGCTTCGCTGGGGAAACGCCATTTAAAAAATAAAAATAATAAATAAAAAAATCCTTGTTTTGGTGGTTGTTCAGCTCCTGCAAATCAAACCCCAGCAGCTGTGCAGGTGGAAGGGTCAGGCTGGGAGGGGAAATGCACCTGGAAAGAATCCAGGGGGGTTCCTGATGAGTGAGCAAGGGGAGAAGCCAAACCCTGCTGCCAAACCCTGAGCCAGGCCTGGCTGTGAGTGCTGGGGAAACTGCACCCTCTGCAACATCACTCACTCCTAGAAAGTGCTGCTGATCCCTCCAGGAAATGCAATCCAAAACTGGCTCCAGCAGGAATGAGCCTGGCAGCTGGGACTGCTCAGGGGCAGCTGATTCCTGTCCCAGCTCCCCAGAGGAAGTGAGAACACTCCAAGGTTTTCTTTAAACCCTCACCCTGAGTGCCCTAAAACCTTGCTTTTTCCCTTTTTATTACTACTGTGAGAGATGAAGAGGCAAAACAAGACTGTGAATCCCACCCAACTCTAAGGCTGCCAAGTGGGAAAAAGAAATAACTGGAAAAAACCAAAATCCCTAAAGCCTCAAAGAGAAACCTCCCTCAGTGTGAAGGACAGGTTCTGCTTGGTCCCCTTGGGCTCTCACTGAAGGATTTCACATTGCTGAGTGTCAGGATAGGTGTCAAACAATTAAAAAAAACCACTTTAATGTGCAGGTAGGAGAAATATCAGTGTGAGATTGCTACAGCTGCCTGGCCTGATTAACAGAGCTTTAAACAGTGATTTTAAATGGTGATTTTAAACAGTTCTGTCTCTGGGGCCCAGCCTGAGGGAACATCCTGAGCCCGCAGCTGAAATCTGCACAGGAGGAAGGATTTAGGGTGAGAAAAAGGATCCCTTGGCTCTCTGACAGAGATAATGTGAGCAGCAAACACTGATCAGCAGCATTTATCTGTGTCCTTCTGATTTTTCTGCCTCCAGGTGGAGGAGACCCCACATTCCAGGTTCCCCTTGCACAGTGTGCTCTCTCCTGGATCCCAGGGATCTCTGTGTCTCCTGCTTGGAGCCTGGAATTAAATTCTACAAGAGGGAAATCCCAGCAGCAGGGGAATTCTGTGTGCTTGGTAATTGTGGGGGTGAGTAAGAGGGGGAAGGGGGACTCTGGGACAGTCTGGCAAGTCACAGTGGGGAAAATGAGCCCCAGAAATCCCTTCCCAGGCCCTAGCACCTCAATTTCATGGTACAGCAGCCATTTCAGCAGCCTCCCTGGAAAACAAAGCCAGGGAGCAGTACAGTAGTCAGCAGCATTAAATTAAATAAATAGTCATAAATAGCCATTTCTGTCTAGTTTTCCCCAGCTGGAGCTTGCTTTCACAGTCTGAAATGTCCTTTTGATAGCCTGGCTCCATCCATGCTCCTGCACATGGGGTCTGGTGTGGGGCATGGGGAGGAATCAGCAGCAGGTTACTCCTGCATCCACTGGAAAGGAAAGGGGGAGCTTGGAGGGTTTTGCTCAGGCTGCACTGAGGATATTCTGTGCCACAGAACAGTGTGAGACCAATTATTCATCCTGGAGGAGCCAGGCCTGCACCATCTCCAAACTGGGCTGTGCAGCTGCCTCCCTCCTGCCTCTCAGAAGGTGGAAAAATCCCAGTGCTGGCCCAAGTGGGACCCACATTCCCTCATCCACCAGGCTGGGGAGAGGCCAAGGCCTTCATTAAACCCTTCAAGGAGCAGCCTCATCCTCACTCCAGCTCCAGAGGAGTTTGTGCATTGCACAGCACAGCCAAGCTGCCCCTCTTCCCCACCTGGCTGCTCATGGGGTCTGGAATGATCCCCAAGAGAACACAAAGTGCACACTGGCTGGTTCTGAGGGCAGCTCCAGCTCCTGGCTGCCCTCCAGGGCTGCTGTGTGTGCCTCACAGCCAGCTCTGTCCTGCCACCCTCTGATGGGCCCTTTTTCCTTTCCTCCCTCGGTCCCTGCGACCCTTCCTGACCTCTCCTGGGTTTTTGGAAGCCTTGCTGCTCCACAGATGCAGTCACATAAATATCCACAGTGATGGCTGTTGCTGCATAGATACAATTATATAAATTTATCCCAGGCAAGGAAAGGAAGCTGCTGTTTTTCCCCCCTTTTTTTTTTCCCCACAGATTTGACAAGACAAGGGCTGGGTGAACAAACAGGAGAGAGATTTGCTGAGCTGGGTAGTGGGAGTGCTCGCAAACCAATCCTAATTTTGGTTTTGTGTTTAAATCTGGGTGGTGATTCCAGCACCAATGCAGACCTGCAGCACAGGGGTGGCTCAGTGGCACAGGGAAAGCAGAGAGCAGGTAAAGGGGACACTGTCACCCTGTCACACTCACCTGGCAGGCAGGCACTGCCCTCGCCCAGGGCAGCAGCAGCACAGGGTGGGCTGTGGAAGGGATTGCAGCTCTGTGCTCTGCTCCCTGAGCCAGCCTGGCTGCCCTGACAGCAAATTCCTGCTCCCAGGAGGAGCCTGCCAGGGGGATCTGCCCTCCACGGGGCCACAGCAGCTCCCCCTCCTCTCCAAAGCACTTCTGCAAGGGATTGGCAGCGACTGCCACCCCTGTGTGGCCGCAGGTGAGGGGGTGACAGTGTCCCCTTGGGAGACACCAGAGCAAAGCAGGGAGCTCCATGCACAGGGAGGGCATGGGGACGGGCAGGGGGGGCACTCAAACTGATGCTTCCCTTCGAGACAACAAAAACAGAACAGACAGACAGACAGACAGGAATATTACAGAGGAGCAGTGCACAGGCTCAGGGAGCAGAGCTGGGCACAGCCCTAAGCACACCCCAGTGCTGGGAGAGCACAGCCCTCCCACACATACACACCCCACACTCCCAGAGCCCCTCCAGTTCAGCCAGTGTTGGAGGTCACTCCTTCCCCTCTTTAGGCTTTTTTTTTGCTTTTTTTTTTCCATTTTTTTTTCTCTTAAAATCTGTATATAATATATATATTTATATCTGTATATATATATATATTTATATATATATTTATATATCCTATTTACACATATTGCACACCGTCCTCTGGCCTCCTGCATTCCTGCCTGTCAATGGAAACGTTTCCTTTTCTCCTCTGGATCTGACCCGAAGTCCCTGGACCCGATGCCATTCTGGAGATTTATTAGAGAATCCTTCATCTGCAAGACAAGAGATTTCTCCACTGTGGTGCTACCCTGGAGGAGACAACTTGGGGATTTCTTTTTTTTCCTTTTTTTTCCTAGTATTGATACCATAACTGTGATTTTGGGAGTGGGAGTCAGGCCCATTTAAACCCCCAAAGCAGAACTGAGGAGGGGAGAATCAGGGCTGAGGACTGGGAATGTGGGACACCATTTTCCAGAAGGGGTGAGCAGATTTAACAGTTTAAGAATAAACTCCTGAGTGACCAACAGGACAGTGCTGAGGAGCCAAAGAGGCTGAAGCCTGTCCTTATCTACACCCAGGTGAGCTGCTGGAGCTGTCTGATAAGGACATGGATTAGCATTCCCTAAGTTCTCTCTCCTTAGGGGAAAGCAGCTCACATTTAGGGACTTGTGAGGGAGCAGCTCTCATTTCTGGACTGTGTTTTCAGCAGCCCTGTGTGCTTTTTAGGAAGCCCACCCTGAAATTCCTGGATTTATGAGGAAGCAGCCTTAATTTCTAGGCTGTGTTTTCAGCAGCTCTCTGTGCTTTTTAGGGAACACACCCTGAAATTCCTGGATTTATAACAAAGCTGCTCTCAGCAACCCTGTGTGCTTTTTAGGGAGCACACCCTGAAATTCCTGGATTTATGAGGAAGCAGCTCTCATTTCTGCCTTGTGCTCTCAGCAGCCCTGTGTGCTTTTTAGAGAGCACACCCCAAAATTCCCAGACTTATGAGGAAGCAGCTCTCATTTCTGTCCTGTGCTCTCAGCACCACTGTGTGTTTTTTAGGGAGCACACCCTGAAATTCCTGGACTGATGCTATGAGATTTTGTCCCCTTCCTCCCTGAAAGCTGCATGTAAATCCAGGGTTCAGCTCAAACCAGTGTGCTGTCCAAACTGGGATGACAGATTAGACACCAAATGTGTCCACATGAGGTTTTTGGCCCTGTAGGGTTCTCTCCCTGATGTGCATGGACCCCTCTGATGGGAGAGAGCAGCCCTGGCCCCCTGAGAGCCCCTGTGGTAGCCACCAGCAGCAGGAGATGGGTCTAAAGGAGCTGGCACACCTGAGGGGCTGTGGTGGAAGCAGGAGATGCTGAAGGATGGGGAGCAGCCCTGGGAGGACACAGGGACAGCCTGGTCACAGCCCTGCCTGCAGCTGTGCAGTCTCACCTGGTCCAGGAGCATCACGGAGGATTTGATGATCTCGCGCCATTTCTGCAGCTCTGAGTCGTGGTACTTCTGCTGGGACTCCAGCAGCTGGGCCCACTCTGTCTGAGACTGGGGTAACCTGCCACAAAAACACGGGCAAGGCTCAAAATCACACTGTGTACAGAGATTTCTCTTTCACAGAATCACCAGGTTGGAAGAGACCTTCAAGATCATCGAGTCCAGCCCAACCCCAACCCCTCAACTGAACCCTGGCACCCAGTGCCACATCCAGGCTTGTTTTAAACTTTTGATTTTATCTTTCTCTGGTGCTCTTGGTGATTTTTAGACTACTACAATAGTATGTGAGTACAGAACTTACATCCAGGGATGGTGACTCCACCACCTCCCTGGGCAGAACATTCCAGAACTTGTGACATCCTCTGTGACCCTAACTCTGCTTTTCAGCTGCAGGGGAAATGCACACCAGGGAAATGCACACAAAGGAAATGCACACGGGGGGAAATGCACACAAGGGAAATGCACACACCAGGGAAATGCACACACAAGGGAAATGCACACACCAGGGAAATGCACACACCAGGGGAAATGCACACAAGGGGAAATGCACACAAGGGGAAATGCACACAAGGGGAAATGCACACACAAGGGAAATGCACACAAGGGGAAATGCACACAGAGGGAAATGCACACAGAGGGAAATGCACACAAGGGGAAATGCACACAGAGGGAAATGCACACAGAGGGAAATGCACACAGAGGGAAATGCACACAGAGGGAAATGCACACAAGGGGAAATGCACACACAGGGGGAAATGCACACACAGGGGGAAATGCACACACAGGGGGAAATGCACACCAGGGAAATGCACACCAGGGAAATGCACACACAGAGGGAAATGCACACACAGGGGAAATGCACACCAGGGAAATGCACACAAGGGAAATGCACACACAGAGGGAAATGCACACACAGAGGGAAATGCACACCAGGGAAATGCACACAAGGGAAATGCACACAAGGGAAATGCACACAAAGGAAATGCACACAAGGGGAAATGCACACACAAGGGAAATGCACACACAAGGGAAATGCACACACAAGGGAAATGCACACAAGGGGAAATGCACACAAGGGGAAATGCACACAAGGGGAAATGCACACAAGGGGAAATGCACACAAGGGGAAATGCACACAAAGGAAATGCACACAAGGGGAAATGCACACAAGGGGAAATGCACACAAGGGGAAATGCACACAAGGGGAAATGCACACAAAGGAAATGCACACAAGGGGAAATGCACACAGAGGGGAAATGCACACAAGGGGAAATGCACACACAGAGGGAAATGCACACAAGGGGAAATGCACACACAGAGGGAAATGCACACAGAGGGAAATGCACACAAGGGGAAATGCACACCAGGGAAATGCACACAAAGGAAATGCACACTTCAGCTTCACCTGTTTTGCACAAAAGTGAGAGCCCAGAGCTCTGGTGTGACAGGAAAGCCTCTGGCACCCAGAAAACCCAAGGGGAGCCCCAGCAGGGGTGGCTGTACCTCTCCTGCAGCCTCAGGCCCTGCCACGCCGTCAGCGTCTGCGTGGTGTACTCCAACATCCAGAGCTTGTAGAACAGCATCATGTTGAGAATGACCAGCAGCACCAGACTGCAAAAAAAGCAAGAAAAAAGCCACTTCAGGAGCATCTCACAGCCCACTGCCTGCCAGGAGCAGCTGGGACAACACCCAGCCCTGCAGGAAGGTGTCTGAGCTCAGTCCATGCTGTGAGTGGGGATTTAATCTGAGTGAGCAGCCCAAACTTCACCTCGTGGAAGAAATGTGTGAGCCAGGAGGACAGACAAACAGAACAGGCTGGGTGAGTGGATGTGCTGAATGCAGAGAAAGGGAGGGAAATGGGAGAGTAAAGAGGTAAAAAAAAGAGAGAGACAGTACCTGAAACAGATCCTAATGGGAGCAGGGAAGAGAAAAGACGGAGCAGCTGCAGGTTAGAAACAGAGTGACACAAACTGGGCTGGGAGGGGGAGGCTCAGACAGTGCAGGGGGAAAGGAGCAGAGGGGAGAGAGGCAGGAAGGACAGACAGGGATCCGTGAGCCTGCACTGCTGGTGAAGTTCCCTCAGCACAGCTGAGCTCCTGGGACAGCAGGTGGCTGTGCAGGCACTGACACACACACAGTGCTCACATCCAGCCTTCCCAGAGCAGGCACTGACACACACACACAGTGCTCACATCCAGCTCTCCCAGTGAGGCACTGACACACACACACTCACACAGTGCTCACATCCAGCCCTCCCCATTGCCAGTGCAGGCACTGACACTCACACAGTGCTCACATCCAGCCCTCCCAGTGAGGCACTGACACACACACACACAGTGCTCACATCCAGCCTTCCCCATCCCCAGTGAGGCACTGACACACACACACAGTGCTCACATCCAGCCCTCCCAGTGAGGCACTGACACACACACACACACAGTGCTCACATCCAGCCCTCCCAGTGAGGCACTGACACACACACACAGTGCTCACATCCAGCCCTCCCAGTGAGGCACTGCCACACACACACAGTGCTCACATCCAGCCCTCCCAGAGCAGGCACTGCCACACACACACAGTGCTCACATCCAGCCCTCCCAGTGAGGCACTGACACACACACAGTGCTCACATCCAGCCTTCCCCATCCCCAGTGAGGCACTGACACACACACACAGTGCTCACATCCAGCCCTCCCAGAGCAGGCACTGACACTCACACACAGTGCTCACATCCAGCCCTCCCAGAGCAGGCACTGACACTCACACACAGTGCTCACATCCAGCCCTCCCAGGCAGGCACTGACACACACACAGTGCTCACATCCAGCCCTCCCAGGCAGGCACTGACACACACACACACACAGTGCTCACATCCAGCCCTCCCAGTGAGGCACTGACACACACACACAGTGCTCACATCCAGCCCTCCCAGAGCAGGCACTGACACACACACACACACACACAGTGCTCACATCCAGCCTTCCCAGAGCAGGCACTGACACACACACACACTCACACAGTGCTCACATCCAGCCCTCCCAGAGCAGGCACTGACACACACACACACACAGTGCTCACATCCAGCCTTCCCCCTTCCCAGTGCAGGCACTGACACACACACACTTCTGCCAGGATTTTTCTCCTGAGAAGCCTCAGAGGAAAAGGAAAACAATGATTATCTGCTGCTGCTGCAGGTGCATCTTTGATTGGCCCATGTTGGTTGTTTCTAATTAATGGTCAATCACAGTCCAGCTGTCTCAGACTCTCTGAGAGTCACGAGCTTTTCTTATCATTCTTTTTCCTTTCTATTCCTTTCAAGCCTTCTGATGAAATCCTTTCTTCTATTCTTTTAGTATAGTTTTAATATATCATTTTCTTTTAATATCATATATATCATAAAATAATAAATCAGCCTTCTGAAACATGGAGTCAAGATTCTCATCTCTTCCCTCGTCCTGGGACCCCTGCAAACACAACCACAACACACACTGCTCACATCCAACCTTCCCCACTCCCAGTGAGGCACTGACACACACACACTGTTCACATCCTCCCTTCCCCACTCCCAGTGAGGCACTGACACACACACACTGTTCACATCCTCCCTTCCCCATTGCCACTGAGGCACTGACACACACACACTGCTCACATCCAACCCTCCCCACTCCCAGTGAGGCACTGACACACACACACTGTTCACATCCTCCCTTCCCCATCCCCACTGAGGCACTGACACACACACAGTGTTCACATCCTCCCTTCCCCATCCCCACTGAGGCACTGACACACACACACTGCTCACATCCTCCCTTCCCCATCCCCACTGAGGCACTGACACACACACACTGCTCACATCCTCCCTTCCCCACTCCCAGTGAGGCACTGACACACACACACAGTGTTCACATCCTCCCTTCCCCATTCCCACCCCAGCACTGGGAACACTCCCCAGCCATGCCCTGCCCAGCTCCTCTCTCCCCCACCACTCAGGGGGGGCATTCCTGCTCCTGCCCAGGAAGAGATTCCCAAATGCCAGCCCGGTGCCTGGCTCTGAATAGTGCAGTTATTTTGCTGGAAGAATGGCCCACTATGACCAGTCCAGTCAGGAGGATGGCAACTGGCCAGAGGAATATTCTGGAAACACCACAGAGGGCTCTGTGAGCCAAGTGAAGCTGTCAGGAGCTTGGCACAAAGCTTGGGCACCTCTGTGCTATGTTCTCATCGTGGCAGCACCTTCCACCACCTCATTTATCACTGCCTGGGTGCTGCTGCAATCCTCTGCCATCTGTGCCCCCTCTGGGACCAGGGAACACAGAAAGGAGCTCAGCTTGAGCTGCAATTTCAGCCCTGAAATCCCAGCTTCTCCCCACCTCTCTGACAGCCAGGTGGAGCTTAAGGAAAAGCTGAGCCCAAGTCAGAAAAGCCTGGGTCACTGCTTTAGGCTGCTCTGCTCCACAGCAGCTGCCCAGTGAGCACTGCAGCACTAAATGAAGCCTGCTGTCAGTCCAAGGGCAGACGAACAATAAAAACTGAGTTTAGGAATTAAACTGAGCCACAGGGACGTGAGGGGCCCATTCCCAGCTCACTTGGAGAGCACATCCCAGTCCAAGACCATCAATCCTGAAAGATGAGGTAGGAAAGACCCAAACCAAACAGATCCTGCTGCTGAGCTGATGAAATCACTCCAGCCCCTTGTGCTTCAGCTCTTTCTTTACTTATTGTGCAGAAATCATCTCTCAAGGGTCCAGCTGCTTTCTGGCTGAGCCTCTCATCAAAATCACTGCCCAGCACCAGACATGAAAATGTTTTGCCTGACCAGATGTGACAGAATCCTCACAGACACTGAGCCCTGCTGGGGTAGCCCAGTGAGTCCCAGAGAGCTCTGCACAGTCATTGTCCCTCATAGCAGCTGGTGTGTCAGCAATTAAATCACTTGTTTTAAATTACCCACAGACACAGAGGTTTTTATGTGCCATTAAAGTCATCCTTGATGTAAAAATAAATTTAAAAAAAGTAAAAATAAATAAAATGTAAAAGATGTAGCAGTAAATAAGATGTAAAAATAAATAAATAATAAGATATAAAATAAGATGTAAAAATAATACTAATAAGATGCAAAAATAAATAAACAAAATGCTTATACTTGTTGGATTTCCTCTCCTGTAGGTATTGACTTCACTCCTTGCACAGCTGCCTCTGTCCCAGACAGGTCCCAGACCTGCCTTCAGGACTCTCAGATCAGAGTTTGGCTAAAACAAGGGCAAATCCCAGGGGAAAGGAGAGAAGGGAGCACAGAACTCCAGGAGCACAGATAAACCAAAGGTGTTTAATGCTGGCTGGGAAGGAGAGCAGAAAAAAATCATCACTTACACAAAGCTGATGACAAGGAGCAGCTTGGAGACACTCTGCAGGTGGAAGCCACTGGGGCTCTCCTCAGGGATGTGCCGTGTTTGAGTGGAACCTGAGGAGATGGGGATGCATTTGGGATGGGAAACAGGGAAAGGAGCCCCCAGTCCTCTACCCATCCACACAACCCCAACAGGGAAAGGAGCCCCCAGTCCTCTACCCACCCACACAACCCCAACAGGGAAAGGAGCCCCCAATCCTCTACCCACCCACACAATCTCAATGGGGAAAGGAGCCCCCAATCCTCTACCCACCCACACAACCCCAATGGGGAAAGAGCCCCCAATCCTCTACCCACCCACACAAGCCCAACACTCCCCTCTGTGACCAAACCCCTGCCTGTCCCCATCCCTCACATGCTCACCTGCCACGTGCTTGATTCGATGGGCAACCTCCTCATCCGTGGGGGTGGTCACGGGGCTGAGCACCTCCTCCAGGTGGGGCACCCTCAGGTGGGCGTGGGCGCGTTTCCGCCGCCGCACCGTGGATTGCTTGCTCACCTTCTCTTTGGGGGATTGTCTGTGCACCTCAGCCAGGTACGTGCTCTCTGTTTTGGTCAGCTCGCTCTCTGCAGCACCAAGGGGAGCATTTGGTAGAGAGAGAAAGGTTTAACCCCTCTGCTGTGATGCCTTAGGATTTTAGATTTCTATTTTTCACATATTTGTAACCTTGCAGTTCTTTAGTGTGTCACTCCACATACAGTGGGAGCTGCTGCTCTCCCATTTTGGGCAGACACAACAATTCCTCTCCAGGCCTGGCAATCAAGGATACTTGATCTGTTTTGGTCAGCTCGCTCTCTGCAGCACCAAGGGGGAGCATTTGATAGAGAGAGAAAGGTTTAACCCCTCTGCTGTGATGCCTTACAATTTGAGCATTTATATTTTCCATCTATTGTAGCCCTGCAGTTCTTTAGTGTAGAACTCTGAACTCCACACCCAGTGGGAGCTGCTGCTTCCCCATTTGGGGCAGACACAACAATTCCTCTCCAGGCCTGGCAATCAAGGACACCTCACTGCCTCAGGGCCCAGAGATGGGAACAAAAGGGAGTTGGGGGCAGCAAACTTGGGGTCAATGACTTCATCAGCTGCAGCTGGAATTGGCAGATTCACCCCCAAAATGCAAATGGACCAAACTTATAAAAGTGTGAAACCTGTGATCTATTGTCCATTTCTGGGTGTAGCTCCTGGGGGGCTTTGTCTGCCCTAAATGAAGTTAAAGGCCCTTCAATAAATAGATCTGCTTTTTATTTTCTTTTGCCTGGCCTCTGTTTTTAAGTAGGCATCAGCTGGCCCAAAGAAGCTGGCAGGGCCTAAGAGATTTATGCTCCACATTCCTCTCACCTTTTACCAAAATTTGACCCCAAACTGCCTGACAGGGAGCAGGATTTGCTGCCCTGATTAATTGCAGCAGTTAATTTATTCCAGCTGTGGTAGCCCCTTTTGTAAACCACCCCAAGGCTGCCCACTCCCAGGGAAACACGAGTGTCCCTGTCAGTGCCACACTCACCCAAGTGACGGAAATAATCCTCCAGGCCGCTCCAGAAATTCTTCTCAATGAAGGATTTCACCAGCCCCCAAGGCTGCTTCCTGTAGCGTAATTCTGTGGAAACCCTGTGAGGAGGAACAGGTCACTCATTCCCCTGGTGCTGCTGCCTGGGGGTGATGCCAATTCACAATCTTTGCCAGTGTAAATAATAAATAATCATGTACTCTGTTATTTCTGGAATGCTCTCAGCCCTTCACGTTTCCAGAGGAGAAGCACTGCTGGAAAAATCCTTCCAAAGGCAGGAAGAGCCTCCCTCAAGAGCACTCCAGGGCCATTTGGCAGACATTTGGATTATCATTACTGAAGTCACAGGAATAGAGCTTTGCCCAGCACCCAGTTCCTCTGTTTAGCCCCAGGAAGTTCATCCTGTGCTTATCACAGATCCTGTGCTTATCACAGATCCTGTGCTATCACAGTCTGCAGTGCTCTGCAAACCTCTGCATCCAAGAGAGAGGCAAGAAAAATCTGTAAATCCCCTCCCTTATGCAGCTGTGACTGCTCTGCATTGATGTCAACCCAGCAGGTGAAAATCCTGCCCCTGCTCTTGGTGACAGCCATGTCCCAGCAACAGGACAAGGAAGAGGTGACAGAATCCTCCCAGGCTCTGAGCCCAGTGACTCCCAGAGAGCTCTGCACATTGTCCCACACAGCAGCTGCTGTGTCAGCAATTAAATCACTTGCTTTGAATTACCCACACACACAGTTTCTGTGTGTCATTAAAAATCTGTAAACTGCATTTTCCCAGATGTAAAAAGTAAATAAATAAAACGCTTGTTGGGTTTCTTCTCTTGTAGGTACTGACTCCTCTCTTCTTGCACAGCTGCCTCTGTCCTGATTGTCACTGTCCCAGACAGGGCCCAGACCTGCCTTTAGGACTTCCAGGACTCCAAAGCCCATGTTTGGCTAAAACAAGGGTAAAACACAGGGGAAAGCAGAGAACTCCAGGGGCACAGATAAACCACAGGTGTTTAATGCTGACTGGGAAGGACAGCACTAAAAAATAATCATAAAAAAAGAAATAAACAAAGAAATAACCCCCTCAACCCCTCCTAACACCCAAAACTCCCTCCCAAGGGTGCTTTTTGCTCATCATCCACTCCCAGGGGAGGTACCTGAGTCGGCTCTTGTTTCTGGCAACACGAGTCAAGGTGTAGCGGTTGATGGTGTAGAAATAATCGTGGTAGGGGACATCGTGGGTGAGCACCTCTGCATCGATGACATAGCACTCACTCTCCTGGCTGGCCTTGTACATTGTCTGCAGGAAAAACAGCAGGGAATTTGCTGGGTCCCAGGACGAAGGAGGAACTGAGAACCTGACTCCGTGTTCTCAGAAGGCTGATTTATTATTTTATGATACTATATTATATTAAAGAATTATTTTAAGATACTATATTATATTACAGAAGGCTAACTTATTATTTTAAGATACTATATTAAAGAATTCTTTTAAGATACTATATTATAAAAAAGAAGGCTAATTTGTTATTTCAAGATACTATATTAAAGAATTACTATATTATATTAAAGATGGCTAATTTATTATTTAAGATATTATATTAAAGAATTATTTTAAGATACTATATTATATTACAGAAGGCTAATTTATTATTTTAAGATACTATATTATATTATATTAAAGAAGGCTAATTTATTATTTTAAGATACTATATTATATTAGAGAATTATTTTAAGATACCATAATATATTAAAGATGGTTAGTTTATTATTTTATGATACTATATTATATCAAAGAATTATTTTAAGATACTATACTATATTAAAGATGGCTAATTTATTATTTAAGATATTATATTATATTAAAGAATTCTTTTAAGATACTATATTATAAAAAAGAAGGCTAATTTGTTATTTCAAGATACTATATTAAAGAATTACTATATTATATTAAAGATGGCTAATTTATTATTTTAAGATACTATATTATATCAAAGAATTATTTTAAGATACTATATTATATTAAAGAAGGCTAATTTGTTATTTAAGATATATTATATTAAAGAATTATTTTAAGATACTATATTATATTAAAGAAGGATAATTTATTATTTAAGATATTATATTATATCAAAGAATTATTTTAGATACTATATTATATTAAAGATGGCTAATTTGTTATTTCAAGATACTATATTAAAGAATTCCTATCTTATATTAAAGAAGGCTAATTTATTATTTTAAGATACTGTATTATATTAAGATACTATATTATATTAAAGCATTAAATATACTAAAACTATACCAAAGAATAGAGAAAGGATACATCAGAAGCTTAACAAAAACTCCTGACTGCTGCCAGAGTCCTGACACAGCTGGATTGTGACTGGCCATTAAGTGAAAATAATTCACATGAAACCAATCAACAATGACCAGCTGGTAAACAATCTTCAGACCACATTCCAAAGCAGCAAAACACAGGAGAAGCAATCAGATAATTATTGTTTTCATTCATTATTGGTTTTGATCATTGTTTTCATTCATTATTGTTTCTCTCTGAGGCCTCTCAGCTTCCCAGGAGAAGCAGTCCTGGGCAAGGGGATTTCTCCAGAAAATGTGACAGTGCCATGCAAGGTAACTCAGTGTCACTCAGTGCCCCAGTGTCACTCACCTGAGTCTCGGTGACTGTGGCAGTTTTGGGGGCCAGAGGGTTGGTGAGGGTGATGGTGTACAGGATCACTCTGGTCTGATTGCCATTTTCCTCCTTCTTCCAGGGGTGAAAGATAATATCTGAGAGGACAAAACAACATTCCAGCCAAGTGACTGGGGAGGGATCTCAGGCCAGTCCCCTGGGGAAAGGCACAGCCATATAACCCAGCTGGGGATGGGATTTCCTTCCCCTTGGGGAGCCTGGCTGCTCTAGAGCTCAGCTGAGTGTGAAACCAAGGACTTCTGTGCTAAATGTGAGTGTTTTCCCCTCTTTCAAGTACAGGGAAAGGGAGAGAAGCTGGGGATTTATCTCCTTTAGCAAACCTACAGTTACAGGGAAAGGACTATGACATGCCAAGGGATTGTCCCTGCAGCTCTGTCCATGTCAGGTGTGGAGCTTTTCCCTCACACTGTTAAGCCTTGAACAGAAGATCAGGCCTTAGGTGATGATAAAAAATAAGAAAATCCATTTTTTCCATAAAAAAAGCTGTTCCAGCTGTTAGAAAATGAAACCAGATGGGCACTCAGCTCCTACCACCAGCACGGGACAGCGTGGCCAATTGGACAAAATGTGCTCAGAATATCACCTCAGCACACAAAATTGCAGCTCCAAGGCAGAGGTGATGATAAAAAATAAAAAAAGCAGTTTTTTCCATAAAAAAAGCTGTTCCAGCTGTTAGAAAATGAAACCAGATGGGCACTCAGCTCCTGCCTGCTCTTGGTTACCACCAGCATGGGACAGCGTGGCCAATTGGACAAAATCTGCTCAGAATGTCACTCCAAGCAGACAAAATTGTAATTCCAAAGCAGAGCCCTTCCCCTGCAGCCCCTTGGCAGGTCCAGCAGGAGCAGCAGCAGCAGCTCACCAGTGTTTTGTGGAAGCGAATTCCAGAACTTGGTGAAAGTTGTAAAGCATTGGACACATGTGGAGATTCCTCTCCTTAAAAGACACGTGTGCCTCTGGGAACTCCAGATCCTTTGTTATCCCCCTCTCAAATACCAGGCATGCAATTTCACAACAGGTTCATACATATTCATTTTACAAATTTCCCGTGACATTTGCCACAAATTCCTTTTTATCAGAAAGAATTCCTAGGTCAGGTTGACCCGCTCTCCTGGCAGTTTCTCTGTCTCTCTGTCTCCCCTCCCTTATCCCTGTCCTTTGCCTGAAGCAGTTTCTCTGAGCAAAGGCTTTTTTTTGCAAGAACAGGCAGACTAAACAGCTGTCTTTTCATATGTAGACTTAACTCAAAGATATACATTTCACCTAAATCAAAATGAAATCAAAATGGATTTCTACTCGGGAAGATTTCCCCTCTGCCTCACCAGAGAAGCGGCGCTGCTCCATGAAGTCCCTCTGGAACTGGGAGTCAGTGAAGAGCAGGTCGTAGAGCTTGTCCACGCTGAAGTTGAACACCTCATTCACGTACTGGCGGCCGTTCAGGTCCTCATAAAAGGCTTGGACCTCCCCTGTGGGCAAAGAGAGCCTCAAGGTGCAGCCATGACCCTCCAGGGTGATGGAAATTGTGCTGCCCCAGCGCCAGGAGCTCAATATTGCAGAAGGAACCTAAAGGAGGGACCTCAACTGCTGCCTCAGGTTTTGGATTTTCTATTTTTCACATTCTGTGCTGCTTTAGTGTGTGGGGCTGGGTTCACATCAGGGGATGCTGAGCTCTGGGCACAGAGCAGGGAGACAAAACAATTCCTGCTCCAGCTGGGCACCAAGGACAAATGATCCAAATCTCAGCCCAGGAGCACAAACCCCGTGGGCTGGAGAGAGAAAAACAAGGATGGGACTGCAGGGGCTAAAGCTGGAATGGGACAATGAACTGCAAGATGCAAATGGAGCAGAACTGATCCAAGGGAGAGACCCCGGGAGCGCTCGTGCATTTTGGGACCATTTGGGTTCATCTTGGGTTCATTTTGGGGCCATTTTGGTTCATCTTGGGTTCATTTTGGGACCATTTTGGTTCATCTTGGGTGCATTTCGGGACCATTTTGGTTCATCTTGGGTGCATTTCGGGACCATTTTGGTTCATCTTGGGTGCAGCCCTGGTTGGGCTCTTGTGCTGCCCAAGGTGCATCCATGGAGGCCTTTTAATAAATCCCTGCTTTATTCTTTAACTCTGTCCAGCCTCTGCTCTAGGCCAACCTGCACAAGGCAACACAACCCTTTTCCTGCACTGATCCCAGGGCAAGAAGTTTGGACATCAGAAGGGATAATTAATTACACAGCTTATTTTTGGGACATCCTAAAATTGTTTTGGCTCATCCTGACATTTTTAGGCACATCCTACAATGTAAACACATTCACTTTCTGCAGCCCACAGTGGGAATTCTTTGCATCTTCAGGGTCCAGGAAAGGATTTCAGTAGCAGTCACCACTGCATTCCCTCACAGGAGGGATGGGATAAGGCTGGAAGGAGCCCTGGTGGAGTGGCCTTTCCCCTTTACCTTCATCGTGGGTGTCTGAGGAGTCACTGAGCTCTGTGGGAATGTCCTCGTTGTCATTGAAGTCCAGGGAGGGGGAGTTCACAGGGCCAATGATGTCAATCTTCTCTCCCATGATGTTGGCAATGCCAAGGTCCTTCTCCACAGGACTCTCTGCCACTGCCTCCTCCTCTTCTGGGAGCACTCCATCAAACTGCAGCAAGGACAGGGCACAACAAGGGCAAGATCAGCGCCTAGAAATGGGCTTTATTTCAAAAAACCTCACATCTGTGAGCCAATATCTGGATATTTGGCCTTGACATATCTGGAAATTAAATAGAGAGGAGGACAATTGCTATACAGTGTTTGTAAAACCTCCTCTCAAAAAATCAGTGTTCAAGCTTTGAACACCACCAGGATTTTTGTTCAGACAAGAACAATATTGTCCAACACTGGTTTTGCTCTTGAACAAGCTAAAAGAACCTAAATGAGGTAATATCTAAACAAGGTCTGCTCTGCCATAATTCCAACACTGTTTGCCAGGGAATAACTGAAGGCAGGGAAGAAATTACAATCCTTTTATGTACAAAACTTTTCATCCAGAAGTATAGAAAGGAAAATGCTCTTGCTGCAGAGACTCCCAGTGCCAAAATCACCGACCAAGGACTGAACTCAGCAGCAGTGGAAGAAGAGCTGGAGGACGAACAAACCTCATATGACCCACAGGGTGCTGAATTTCAGGGAAAACAAATTCCTGCTGCCAGGGGAGGGGGAACACTCACCGAGGCTGGGGCTTCACTGCTGCCTGTGGAGGTCAGGGTGCTGGCAGTGACAGATTTCTTTGGCAGCTGAGGGCTGGCTTCTGGCTTGGCCTCCATGCTGCTCTTGGAGGAGCTGTCGTTGACTTCATTCTCCTCCACGGGGATTTCTTCGCAGTAGCTGGGACGCCACAGAGAACACAGGTTTTTATGGTTACCCCTCTCACAACAGCTACAGCTGCACACACAGAGCAAGTGAGAATGTTTCTATGAAGTCTCCAGGCTGTCCAGGAGCAGGAATGGCTCAGTGCAGGGGAGAGCAAGCCCCAGTTTTTTCGGGTGTTTATACAGGGATTGACAAGCATCAGCATTTTCTGGCCATGCAACACTGCCTGGCCTCGTGACCAGGGTGCTTTGGCATTTCTAGAATTGCTCAGCTGGCTCAGCAGGCATTGAGCTCCCTCCCAGTGGTGCCTTAAGTTTTAGCTTTTCTGTTTTTCAGATTCTGTGCTGCTTTAGTGGGTGGGTCTGAGTTGATATTAGGGGATGGTGAGCTCTGTGCACAGAGCAGGGAGACAAAACAATTACAATTCCTTCTCTAGGAATTGAGAAGGAATTGTTGACAATTGACCAATTGTCCTTGGTCCCCTTGTCCTCGGGGAGTCACTGAGGAGTCAAGGACCAAGAACCATCAATAGAAGTTACAGGCCCGAGAACATAAACAACATGGACTGAAGAGAAAAAAACAAGAAGGAGGGGATTTGATAACCTAAAGCTGGAATTGGACAATTAACTCCAAAATGCAAATGGAGCAGAACTTATAAAAGTGAGCGACCCCGTGAGTGGTCGTGCATTTTGGGACCATTTTGGTTCATCTTGGGTTCATTTTGGGACCATTTTGGGTCCGTCTTGGGTTCATTTTGAGACCATTTTGGTTCATCTTGGGTTCATTTTGGGACCATTTTGGTTCATCTTGGGTTCACCTTGGGACCATTTTGGGTTCATCTTGGGTTCATTTTGAGACCATTTTGGGTTCATCTTGGGTTCATTTTGGGACCATTTGGGTTCACCTTGGGTTCATTTTGGGACCATTTTGGTTCATGTTGGTGCAGCCCTGGTTGGGCCCTTGTGCTGCCCAAGGTGCATCCATTGAGGAGATCCTTTTAATAAATCCCTGCTTTATTCTATAACTCCATTCTAGGCCAGCCTTCAGAAGGCATCACCAGCTTCCACGAGGAACCCTCCACCTCCAGCTTCTTCGGCATCACACATTCCAGAGCCGCAGCTTGGCCAGCTCCCAGGTGTGCCAGGACCGGCAGCATTTGGGGCATGCAGCACCTGTGCCAGCTCCCAGGTGTGCCAGGACTGGCAGCATTTGGGGCATGCAGCACCTGTGCCAGCTCCCAGGTGTGCCAGGACTGGCAGCATTTGGGGCATGCAGCACCCCCTGCTCCCCCAGGAGAGCCCAGCCCTGCCCTCTCACCCCATGGTGTTGAAGTCATCGTCAGGAGGCACGTAGTCTTCGTCGTCGCTGGTCAGCCCCAGCTCGTTGCCGTAGCACTGGTGGACAAAGTGCCAGAGCTCCTTGGGGCACAGGGGCTGCAACAGGGGCACAGAGCGTCACCAACGGGCGGCCAAGAATGGCCAAGCACACTGAAAATATCGGGAATTGTCACTGGCAGGAGGATATTCCTTCCCTGAAAGGAGTGAGGGATTCTGGTCCTTGAGGTGAGAGCCCTTCTGTGGGCTCAGCTCTGTGAAATTCCATTTGATGGAGTTTATTGTTATTTAATTTTTTATTACTTAATTTTTATATATACTTACATATTCATATGCATTTTATCTATATTTAATTTTTATATATACTTACATAGTCATATGCAGAGTTGTTATATTTATATTTATAACTGCATTTTATCTATATTTATATTTTATTGCTATTATATATATTTTATATGTATAATAATAGCAATAATCTATTATAATTTTTAAATCTAAAAATAGATGAATATGTAAAATATAAATATAATAACAATGCTATTTATATATTTATGGATATATACTTTTCATGTATTATAGTAGTTATTTAAAATGTTAATTAGTTGTTTATATTTAAATGTTACTTTTAAAATAATGTATTCTTAATATATGTTTATATATATATGTTAATATATATATTTATATATATTTATATATATAATATATATTTTTATATATATAAATATATGTTTATATATTATATAAATATATGTTTATATATTATATAAATATATGTTTATATATTATATAAATATAGAATATATAAACATGTTATATGTTATATAAATATATGTAATTATGATTTTGTTATAAATATAATATCCCATAATAAATATTGTAAATTATACAGTTATAGATAATGTTATATACAACTTTACATAGCATATGTAATGTACAAAATATATGTAGAATATATTTTATATACACTATATACAATATATAATCTTATATATATATATATCTTGATAATAAATATGTAATTATGTATATGTATGTCTGTGTAATATATATCTAATATATGCAATATTCAATGTTTGATTATATTATTATTAAAATACGGATGAGATTTCCCACTAACAGGGCTGGAATGTCCTAAAGGAAGCTCTGAACCTGCATTTCCCTCCACAAATTTTTTCCCACCTCTTCTGCTGTGCCTCCATTCAATGGCTGCTGCTCCATCAAACCCCAAGACCTTATGAGGTTTGTTTTGTTTTTTCTCCCCCCTTCAACTTTTTGTTAAATTAAAGCTGCCTGAAAAAATCCCAGCTGCAGGGAAAATTATCTAAAACAATCTAGAAAAAAAAAAAATTAAAAATTCAAATCATCTAAAGCAATGAAGAAAAACATTTCCTGCTGCAGTTTGGAATCACAAGGAGTTTGTGTCACCAGACACCCCTGTGAAAAGTTAAAAAAAAAAGTAAAAAAGAGAAAATGAATTATCCTGACCATGGAAAAAAGCCCAAATTTTAGGGATGCAGGTCAGTGATCACCACATGACTGTGACATGAGGCTCTGAAAAATGGGGCTTGTGATTGAAACTTGTGATTTAAAGATGTGGTACAGGGATGAAAGGGGATTTTCACCCCTCAGAAACTTATGACCAACCACAAAGATTTCTTGGTAATGAGGGGAAACAAACCCAGTGAACTTTTTCTGAGTTGCTGGCTTGGATTTTTTCCCATAGTAACTGCATGGGATAAGGAGGAATTTTTTAATCTAGTCCCTCACAGCAGCAACCAAAAGCATGGGGGGAACAAAGCCTCTGATGAGGAACTCCCATCCAGAGAAATGTGACTGCTCCTCCTCCTTCCCACACACATTAACTCACACCCATGTCTTGTCAGGAAAACTGCACTCAGCTTTTTCTCCCCTTTTCCTGCCAGCCACAGATCCCACATTGGGAAAAAAAAGAGCTCTGGAAGTGCTTCCTGTGTTTATCAGCCCCTTTTGCCTTGACCTCGAGACCAAGGACACCGAATTTCATTTGGAGCTCCAAAAAAGCTGCTCACAGGCAAGGTGATCCTTGCTGCTCCTAAATTCTACTCCAGTTTTTGGGACAGGGTATTCCTGGTGCCTCATTGCTCCAGCAGGGCCTGAATTCCAGCCAGGACACCCCAAAGTGCTGTGGAACAGATTCTCAAATAAAATCCAGGATTTACAGGGTCTCTGGCACAGCAGGAACAGATTTAGTTTAAAATCCAACCAAGAAAACAGGTGGTTTATCCTAGAAAATGGTGATTCATCCCAGAAAACAGGTGGTTTATCCCAAAAAATGGGTGATTAATCCCAGAAAACAGGTGGTTTATCCCAAAAAACAGGTGGTTTATCCCAAAAAATGGATAATTACCCCCAGAAAACAGGTGATTTATCCCAGAAAACAGGTGATTTTTCCCAGAAAATGGGTGATTAACACCAGAAAACAGGTGATTAAACCCCAGAAAATGGGTGATTAAACCCCAGAAAATGGGTGATTAACCCAATAAAATAGTTGATTTGTCCCAGAAAACAGGTGGTTTACCCCAGAAAATAGGTGATTAACCTCAGAAAACAGGTGATTTATCCCAGAAAATGATTGATTTGCCCAAGAAAATAGGTGGTTTACCCCAGAAAATGGGTGATTAAACCCCAGAAAATGGGTGATTAAACCCCAGAAAACAGTTGATTTACCCCAGAAAATGGGTGATTAACCCAATAAAATAGGTGATTTATCCCAGAAAACAAGTGATTTCCCCAGAAAATGGATTATTTATCCCAGAAAAAAAAATTCCCTGCAAAAAGAGGGACTTGCCTCTGCAGTCATGAGCCTGCTCTGCCTAAACATTTGTGTTTAATGTCCCTAATGCCCAAACCCACTTTTGTTTGCTGTCCCTTCTGCCCAAGCACTGGTGTTTGCTGTCCCTGGGTGTTTTTTCAGCCAGAAGCGAGGCTCCTGCCCACATCCATCCCTCCCTTCCATCCCTCCCTTCCATCCCTGTGTACCTTGTCAAGCAGAGCGTTCTGCCAGAGTCTGAACATCATCATGTACGTCCTGTCCCGAGCCCCAAAGGAGGTAAAAAAGTGCTGGATGGGGAGAGAGGGAGAGAAAAATCAGCTCAAAAAAAGCCAAAAAACGGGAGAAGAGCACAACAAAGCTGTTTGGGGTCGCTTTCCAGCTGGAGTGAGCCATCCCTGGAACATGGAGGGAAGCTCATGGAGAGGCTCTCAGCAGGGAATGAGCACTGGAACAGCTCTGTTAGAAATGTGCTGCTGTAAAACCTGGGTATTGCACCTGGCCCCACACCTGAGCTCCAGCTCAGCACAATCCCTGCTCCCAACCCTCCTCCCAGGGTGGAAAAACCCCACACACACGCTTTAAAAGCCCTGCCAGACACAGAGGTGGCCTTATCCATGTGGGATTTACCTTTTCAGTGTCAGTGCAAACTTGGATGGCATTGGGAATGAGCCGGGCTGTCTTCTCCTTGGTCATGGAGCAGATGTCCTTCAAGCGAACTGTCAGCTGCAGCAGGCAAGGAGAAACACCAGGAAAGGGAGGAAACCGTGAGAAAAGAGGCAGGAAAGCCCTTCCAAGGCCAATGTGGGCACAGCCCCTGGGTTAACAGCAGTGGGAGAGCCTCACCAGGGAGGGAACAACACCAGGAAAGGGGAAATTCAAGAGAAAGGAAGAAGAAAAACCTCACCAGTGTCTCTCAGGCAGGGAAAAACACCAGGAAGGGAGAAATTATTGAGAAAGGCAGCAGAAAAGCCCTTCCAAAGCCAATGTGAGCACAGCCCTGGGTTGGCAGCAGTGGGACAATCTCACCAGTGTCTCCCAGGCAGGGAAAAAACATCAGGAAAGGGAGAAAATCATGAGAAAGGCAGAAGAAAAGCCCTTCCAAAGCCAATGTGAGCACAGCCCCAGGGCTGGCAGCAGCAGGAAAGCCTCACCAGGGAGGGCAAAACACCAGGAAAGGGGGAAATTCAAGAGAAAGGCAGCAGAAGAGCCTCACCAGTGTCTCTCAGGCAGGGAAAAACACCAGGAAAGGGAGAAAATCATGAGAAAAGCAGAAGAAAAGCCCTTCCAAAGCCAACTTGAGCACAGCCCTGGGTTGGGAGCACTGGGAGAGACTCACCAGTGTCTCCCAGGCAGGGAAAAACACCAGGAAGGGAGAAAATCATGAGAAAGGCAGCAAAAAAGCCCTTCCAAGGCCAATGTGGGCACAGCCCCAGGGCTGGCAGCAGTGGGACAGCCTCACCAGTGTCTCCCAGTGTCCTGGTTTGAAAAGGAAGTGAGTTTTTGGGAGGCTGTGGTCAAACCAATGGGTGCTCAGATTTGAATATTGGCAGCTGGTGTGGTCACTGAGGACATGGATCCACCTCTGAGAACACAGGGGGTTAAAAGCAGAGAAAAACAGGCAGGGAAAAACACCAGGAAAGGGAGAAATTCATGAGAAAGGCAGCAGAAGAGCCTCACCAGTGTCTCCCATGCAGGGAAAAACACCAGGAAGGGAGAAATTATTGAGAAAGGCAGCAAAAAAGCCCTTTGAAAGCCAATGTGAGCACAGCCTGGGGTTGACATCAGTGGGACAATCTCACCAGTGTCTCCCTGGCAAGGAAGAACACCAGGAAAGGGAGAAAATAATGAGAAAAGCAGAAGAAAAGCCCTTCCAAAGCCAATGTGAGCACAGCCCTGGGGTCGGCAGCAGTGGGAGAGCCTCACCAGGGAGGGAAAACCACCAGGAAAGGGAGAAGTTGATGACAAAGGCAGCAGAAGAACCCTTCCAAAGCCAATGTGGGCACAGCCCTGGGTTGGGAGCACTGGGAGAGCCTCACCAGTGTCTCCCAGGCAGGGAAGAGCACCAGAAAAGGGGGAATTGATGACAAAGGCAGCAGAAGAGCCTCACCAGTGTCTCCCAGGCAGGGAAGAGCACCAGAAAAGGGGGAATTGATGACAAAGGCAGCAGAAGAGCCTCACCAGTGTCTCCCAGGCAGGGAAGAGCACCAGAAAAGGGGGAATTGATGACAAAGGAGCAGAAGAGCCTCACCAGTGTCTCCCAGCGGAAGATGTTGCTGTAGAAGCAGATCCAGTTCTCGGAGAGGTAGAGGCGGCCCTGCAGGAGAATGTCCCTCTGGAGAGCACATGAGTAATCTGGGGGAGGACAGACAGGAGCAGAACACCACAAGATGCCACTGATACCTTAAGATTTCTGCCTTTGTGTTTTTCAAATCCTGAGCTGCATCAGTGCATGACTCTAAACTCCATATAAACTCCTGAACTCTTCACGTTTTAGTCAGCAAAATAATTCCTCTGGGCATGAAACTCAAGGAGACCCGACAGCCTCAGGCCCCAAAAACTATAAACAAAAGAGAACTGGGGAGGGGAGAAAACTGGGGTCACTTCATTACTTGAAGCTGTAATTGGACAATTAACCCCTGTTATGCAAATAGACCAAACCTATAATTGTGTGAGAAACTCATGATCATTTTGGGGGTAGCCCCTTGGGGAGGCTTTGACTGCCCTCAATGTACCTGAGGGCCCTTCATTAAATATATCTGCTTCATGGATATATTTAATATGTTTATGGATATAAACATGTATTAACATATAGAAATAGAAATGTTATATATATAAACACGGATAGATATATATATTTATATATACATATATAAATATATATATATGTGTATATATATATATATGTGTATATATAATATAAAATATATATCCATGTTTTTATATATAACATTCATGTTTATGTATGATATATAAATATATATATGTATATATATATAATATAAAATATATATCCATTTTTATAGATAACATTCATGTTTATGTATGATATATAAATATATTTTATATATTTTATTTATTTATTTATTTAATCCATATAGACATGGATATATTTATATTATATATATATATATAAACATGGATATATTTAATCTATTTATCATATGCTTTAAACTTTGTCTGGCCTCTGTTTCTAGGCAAGCCCAAAAGAAAAGGAATCAGGAGAGCCCAAAGGTGAGGATGAGCAGCAGCATCAAGAGCAGCCACTGAGCCCAGCAAGGCAAAGGCAGGAGCTGAGCCCCAGCTGCTGCCTGTGTCCTGGGCTGGCTCCTCCAAGGACCTGTCACAGGCAATCCCTGTCCCTAATGATGATCCTGCCTTATCAGCTGCTCACTCTGCAGCAGCCCAGGTGTTATTTCCAGATTTCCCCTGTCTCTTCCTTTCTGCCTCCCTGGTGTCATTGTGAGTTTTCCCCCAGTTTCAGCGGGTGGGGCACAGGAGGGGATCACCAGCTCTGTAAGGCACAGGAGCAGCTGCATCTCAGCAGCTGTGAGGTGAGGTCTGGGAGGGCAGTGGTGTGTGAGCAGGGACGTTGGTGTCAGGAAAATTCACCCACAAACACCAGGGGTTGATGTCTAAAAAGGAGACAGAGCAGTCCTGGAACTTTATTCCAATCAAGGCAGAAGCCATGGGGCATCCCCTGGGGTCTCTGCAACTTTTGGAGCACGCAGCCTCCTTTTTATCCCAATTTATGTGTTAGTGGATGCATTTAAGGATGAAAACCTGGCTGGATTTGTGCTGCCCTCCTCCCCAGAGCTGTCCTTACCCACGATGAGGCGCTCGGTGTCCGGGAGCTGCTTGAAGAGTTTCCTGAAATCCTCATTGCGCTGCTTGTACGTGGGGCTCAGCACCTGCAGGGGACAAGGGGCTGTGAGGACAGGGGCAGCTGGGGACAACAGGGACACCTCAGGGGCAGCAGGAGAAGGGGGGCAGAGGCACTGAGGAGCTCCCATCACAGCCCAGAGATGGGAGGGTTTGGGCTTTACTATGCAGGGAGGGAGAGGAAGAGGAGAACGTGGCTTGGGAGAGCAATCCAGGCTGGGAAGGAAAAAATCCTGGAAAAGGCTGCAGAATTCCCTGTGCCTGCAGAGGAGTTCCCTGTGCCTGCAGAGGAGTTCCCTGTGCCTGCAGAATTCCCTGTGTGCCTGCAGAATTCCTTGTGCCTGCAGAATTCCCTGTGTGCCTGCAGAATTCCCTGTGTGCCTGCAGAATTCTCTCTCTGTGCCTGCAGAATTCCCTGTGTGCCTGCAGAATTCTCTGTGTGCCTGCAGAATTCTCTGTGTGCCTGCAGAATTCCCTGTGTGCCTGCAGAATTCTCTCTGTGCCTGCAGAATTCCCTGTGTACCCACAGAATTCTCTGTGTGCCTGCAGAATTCTCTCTCTGTGCCTGCAGAATTCCCTGTGCCTGCAGAATTCTCTGTGTGCCTGCAGAATTCCCTGTGTGCCTGCAGAATTCTCTGTGTGTGCCTGCAGAATTCTCTCTGTGTGCCTGCAGAATTCCCTGTGCCTGCAGAATTCTCTCTCTGTGCCTGCAGAATTCTCTCTCTGTGCCTGCAGAGGAGTTTCCTGTGCCTGCAGAATTCTCTCTCTGTGCCTGCAGAATTCTCTCTGTGCCTGCAGAATTCTCTGTGTGCCTGCACAATTCCCTGTGCCTGCAGAATTCTCTCTGTGTGCCTGCAGAATTCTCTCTGTGTGCCTGCAGAATTCCCTGTGTGCCTGCAGAATTCTCTGTGTGCCTGCAGAATTCTCTGTGTGTGCCTGCAGAATTCTCTGTGTGTGCCTGCAGAATTCTCTGTGTGCCTGCAGAATTCTCTGTGTGTGCCTGCAGAATTCCCTGTGTGCCTGCAGAATTCTCTGTGTGTGCCTGCAGAATTCTCTGTGTGTGCCTGCAGAATTCCCTGTGTGCCTGCAGAATTCTGTGTGCCTGCAGAATTCTCTCTCTGTGCCTGCAGAATTCCCTGTGTGCCTGCAGAATTCTGTGTGCCTGCAGAATTCTCTCTCTGTGCCTGCAGAATTCTCTCTGTGCCTGCAGAATTCCCTGTGTGCCTGCAGAATTCTCTGTGTGTGCCTGCAGAATTCTCTGTGTGTGCCTGCAGAATTCTCTCTGTGTGTGCCTGCAGAATTCTCTCTGTGCCTGCAGAATTCTCTCTCTGTGCCTGCAGAATTCTCTGTGTGCCTGCAGAATTCCCTGTGTGCCTGCAGAATTCCCCGTGTGCCTGCAGAATTCCCTGTGTGCCTGCAGAATTCTCTGTGTGCCTGCAGAATTCTCTCTCTGTGCCTGCAGAATTCTCTCTGTGTGCCTGCAGAATTCTCTCTCTGTGCCTGCAGAATTCTCTGTGTGCCTGCAGAATTCCCTGTGTGCCTGCAGAATTCTCTGTGTGCCTGCAGAATTCTCTCTCTGTGCCTGCAGAATTCTCTCTGTGCCTGCAGAATTCCCTGTGCCTGCAGAATTCCCTGTGTCTGCAGAATTCTCTCTCTGTGCCTGCAGAATTCCCTGTCCCTCCATGCTGCCCAAGGTGGGAGTTGTGCTCTATGCTTGCAGCACTGACCTGCCAACAGCCAGCAGTGGGGCAGCTACCCCAGGAAAATGGGGGATTCAGCACAGAAAATGGGAGATTTACCACCAAAAATGGGGAATTCAGCACAGAAAACAGTAATTTACCCCCTAAAATGGGTGATTTACCCTAGAAAATAGGTGATTCACCCCAGAAAATTGGGGATTGACCCCAGAAAATGGAGGATTTACTCCAGAAAATAGGGGATTCAGCACAGAAAATATATTTATCCCAGAAAACAGGTGATTCACCCCAGAAAATGGTGGATTTAGCACCAAAAACAGGGATTCAGTAGAGAAAATAGGTGATTTACCCCAGAAAACAGGTTATTCACCCCAGAAAACAGGTTATTCACCCCAGAAAATAGGGGATTGAGCCCAGAAAATGGAGGATTTACTCCAGAAAATAGGGGATTCAGCACAGAAAATATATTTATCCCAGGAAATAGGTGATTCACGCCAGAAAACAGGGGATCCAGCAGAGAAAATGGGGAATTGAACCTAGAAAATGGGAGAGTTACCCCAGGAAATGGGGGATTCACCACAGAAAACAGGATTCAGCACAGAAAATAGATTTACCCCAGAAAATGGCTGATTTAGCACAGAAAATGGAACATGGGAGATTCAGCACAGAAAATGGGTGATTTACCCCAGAAAAGAGGTGATTCACCCCAGAAAGTGGCTGATTCAGCACAGAAAAGGGGGGATTTACCCCAGAAAAGGGGTGATTCAACCCAGAAAATGGGGGATTCGCCCTAAAAAATGAGGGTTTGCCCCAGAAAATTATTATTTTATTAGGGTTATTAGCCCTGCCAGAGGAGCTTGAGCAGGCCCTGTCGCTGAGAGCTCAGGACTCCCCATGCCCACCCTCTCCCCACCAAACTGGGACAGTGGGAACACCTCACTCCAAAAGGGCTCTCCCCAGTGTCCCAGGGACTGAACCCTGTCCTGCCCTTGTTTTGTGTCCTGGCCTCAGGGAGCAGGGGCTGGAGGGACACCAGGGGTTTGTGGTGTGGCACCCACGCCTCCTCACCCTGTGCCAGCTGCTCCCCACAGCCACAACCCCTTCAGATCCCCATCTCCAGAGCATCTGCAAAGTTCCTCCTCACACAGGTGCAGAGAAGGAGCCACCTGGGGTACAACAATTTTCCTCTTTATCCAACAAGCCAGAGGCATGATGAGCAAGGCAGCAGAAGAGCCTCATGAAGGGGATTCACCCTAAAAAATGAGGGCAAACCCTCATTTTTTAGGGTGAATCCCCCATGATCTCCTAGGGCAGAAATGTGGGAGTGTTCCAGCAAAGGCCCCAAAATTCTGAGATCAGAGAAGGCATTTTCTGCTTAAGAATGGTGGTGGAGCCACAGGGGTGGGAGGAACACAGAGTTTATTTAGAATCAGCCTCACAGCTCTGCCAAAAGCTGTCAGATCACAGCAGATTTGATGCTGGCTGTCAAATCACAGACAACCCCTCGCCCACAAAAGCGCTCCCTGCTCCTCACAGCAGCTCAGAGCTACAAACAGAACATTCCAACAGGAGCAGAGGGCCCAGAGGAAGGGATCTCACTCTGAGCAAAGCCTGCCAACCAGCTGATGACAGAAACATCAATTGTACTTACCAAACTCCCAGCCTGAACATCTGGAAAAGGTCTTGGTCTGAGATGGGCTCCAGCAAGAGCCCAAGGCCAAGATTTCCAGGAACAAGCAGAGAGGATGGGGATGGAGTGGGGAAAAGGGACTGTAATCCCTGCAGGGCTCAGCAGGAGCTCCAACCTGTCCTAGCAGAGGCTCTGCCAGGGCACAGCCAGCTCAGTTTAGACACTCACAGCTGGGATTCCATCAGCTCCAGGGCTGGCATCTCCTCCAGAGAAGTCCCCAGGTCCCTCCGGGTCCCACCAGGGCAGCTCTTGGTCCAGGAAAAGATCCCAGAGGGAGCCACACTCCAGCAGGGAATCCATCTCCTTCCCTCAGCCCTGCTCAGCTCCCCAACTGCACTGCAACTCTGCTCTTCCTGCTCCCTCTGCTCCTTGTTTATGTCCAAAGCCCAGAGGTGCAGCCTGGCAGGAGTCCAGGTGGGTTTAGGTGCCTTTCCCTGCTCTCCTGCCCACATCCAAAGCTCAGAGGTGCAGCCTGAGGAGTCCAGGTGGGTTTAGGTGCCTTTCCCTGCTCTCCTGCCCACATCCAGCTCATTCAAAGCCCAGAGGTGCAGCCTGAGGAGTCCAGGTGGGTTTAGGTGCCTTCCCCTGTTTTCCTGCCCACATCCAGCTCGTCCAAAGCCCAGAAGTGCAGCCTGAGGAGTCCAGGTGGGTTTAGGTGCCTTTCCCTGTTTTCTTGCTCACATCCAGCTCGTCCAAAGCCCAGAGGTGCAGCCTGGCAGGAGTTCAGGTGGGTTTAGGTGCCTTCCCCTGCTCTCCTGCCCACATCCAAAGCTCAGAGGTGCAGCCTGAGGAGTCCAGGTGGGTTTAGGTGCCTTCCCCTGCTCTCCTGCCCACATCCAGCTCGTCCCAGGCGGCCCCCGAGGATCCCAGCGAGGATTTCCCCTCCAGAGCACTTTTCCCAAAGAGGCTCATGGGGGTGATTGCGCTGCTGGGCCCCCTCTGTGCCCTCCTGCTGCAGCCTCACCGCAGGCACCCCCTGCAGGAGCCCTGGCAGGTGTGAGCAGGGCAGCAAAGCCCCCAAATGTCCAGGAGTGCCGGACCCGGCCCCACAGAGCCCCGGCCCCGCTGCGACTCACGCGGCTCCAACAGCTCCAGCTCAGCTTTCCCCTCGCTGGCCGCAGAAAAAGCAGCAATTCTGCCTCCTCAGCGCCTCAGGCTCTGCTCTCAAAGGCAGCCTCAGTCTCTGTGCTTCTCATGGAAGGGGCGGGCAGGGAAGATCCCAAAATGCCTCCCCATGGCTGCAGTGGCTGGAGCTGGGAACGCCGGCGGCCAATGCCCGGCAGTAACCCGGCCCTGCCTCCCAGCAGATGTTTCCTGTCATGGAAAGCTGCTGGACAGCGTGTGCTGGAGCCTGAGGGGAGCCTGGGACGTGGGCTCCTGTCCCACTCCCTGCACATGGGCCCCTGGCCCTCTCCCTGCAGCCCTCAGGGCTGACCGGGCCCTCCCAAACACAGGTGGGGCTCCTGTGATCTGCCCACACTGGCTGGGACAGCAAATACTGCTGATAGGCTCATCTTTAGAAAAAGAAATAAACTCTGTATTCCTGAAAAAGACAATTGGCTGGGAAGGGGTTTGGAACACAAACCCCGTGAGGCAGCCCTGAGGGAGCTGGGGGTGCTCAGCCTGGAGAAAAGGAGGCTCA